GTTTCCAGAGCTACACAGAGAAACCCTGTCTCGAAAAGCCAAAAATAAAATAAAATAATAATAATAATTTAAAAAAGAAAAAAAAAGCAGGCAGTAACTCAAGCCGGGAAATCTTTTCTCTGCGGCCACACCCCGTCCGAAGGAATTTTTGAACCTTACGGTGGTTCTCATTCATTCTTTTTGTTCTACTAGATTCCGAAGTCACTGAGCACATCCGGGTGTTTGGTCCTCACCCACAGCAAGCAGGGGCTCTGTGCTAGCGATGCTTCTTGAGGGACTGGCATTGTTCCAGAGGGTGTGGAAAGTTGCTGCCCTTAGGGCTGCCCAGTTCAGGCAGCAGGGCGGTGACCCCTGCCTTTGATACCAGCACAGCCTGGGCTACCTACATATTGAAACCCTGTCTCAGAGACAGAGAGACAGAGAACCCAGGTAACAGAAAAACAACATCTCCTGAGTAAATTAGGAGGTGGAGAGGGGGAGTGAAAAGGGACAGGGGAGGAGAGAAGGGGAGTGAACAAAAATGTATAGCTCAATAAAATAAATTTAAAAAAAAAGAAAAAGAAAAAACAGAAAGACTTCTCTATAGGTCCACCTCTGTTTTGTTTTGATTTTTCAAGACAAGGTTTCTTTGTGTAGTCTTGACTGTCCTGGAACTCACTCTGTAGACCAGGCTGGCCTCAAACTCAGAGCTCTGCCTGCCTCTGCCTCCTGAGGGCTGGGGCAGTAGTTTTTTAAACCTTTACCCAAAAAAGGCCATTATGGGACATTTACATCTAAATTAGAGAGCCCATTTTCCAAATGTAAAAACTGAGACCCCAAGTTCAACCCTGTGCAGAGGCGCCCACGGCTCATCATGGCAGTGTTTGTATTTCCCAGAACTTAACTCTGAAGTCATTATCCTTGTCATTGGGAATGCCCAACCCTGTATTCAACCAATGTCCAGGTTGAACTGTATGTCCAGCCCAATGTCCAGCCCAACTGTATGTTGGGCTAAAGACAGAGTCTCACAGAGAGCCAAGTGGAATGGCCCAGATTCAAATCCACTTTGTCATCTTATGCCTGTGCGATCCCCTAGCAAAACCTCTGTGCCTCCATCCCTCCCCCACCCCATATTTGTAAGTAGAGCCTCTAGCCAAAGGTAGTCGAGTACACCTTTAATCCGAGCACTTAGGCAGATCTCCGTGAGTTCCAGGCCAGCCTGGTCTATATACTGAGACCTTTTTCTCTAAGAATAATATTATTATTACTGTAATAATAATAGGCTGGAGATATAACTCAGAGGTTAAGAGCACTGGCTGCTCTTGCAGAGGACCTGGGTTCCGTTCTCAGCTCCCAAGTGGAGACAAACAACCCTCTGTAACTGGAGCTGGGGGAGGAGGGACTCTGATGCCCCCTTCTGGCTTCCATGGGCACTTCACATATGTAGCTCACATACATAACATGCTAGCAAATTAACCCACAAATAAACCTTTAAATGAATTGAACTAATGACACCTCTGGTTTTACAGCTTCCGAGGTAGCCGTGCAGGTGCTCACCAATGTGACTGGCTTATTGGGCAACTCTGCCTACTTGTTCTGCAGTCTTGCCCTGTCGGGAAATGTGACGGTCACACAAGTCACCTGGATGAGGAAAAATCCAGCCGGTAATCCCACTAAGGTGGCTGTCTTCCACCCCAAGAAGGGGCCCAGCATCGCAGAGTCATCAAGGGTGAAGTTCTTGGCCACCAAGCTGGACGGGGATCAGTGGAATGCGTCTCTATCCATATCCCACTTGAGTGTTACAGATGAAGGTAGCTACGAATGCCAGTTTGCCACGTTCCCCACCGGCAGCAGGAGTGCCAGTGTCTGGCTGGAAGTGCTTGGTAAGTGTTGGGGTGAGGAGAAGAGCCCCAGGGCCAGAGGAACAGGGAGCTAGCCAAAAGCAAGAAGGCGTGGGTGACACCATTGGGACACGTCCTATCATCCAAGTCAAAAGACTGAGGAAGGACCCATGTAGCCCAGGCTAGCCTCCAAGGTACTATGTAGCTGAAGATGACCATGAGCTCCTGACCTTCCAGTCTCTTCTCCCGAGCGCTGGGATTACAGATATTGTCCCCCAAACCCTAGTTGAGATGTTATTTTGATATGTAGCCCTGGCTGACCTGAAACTCACTCTATAGACCAGGCTGGCCCCAAGCTCACAAAGATTCTTCTGTCTCTGCCTCCTGAGCACTGGGATTAAAGGCGGATGCTTCGACCGCCTAGCAATCCTTCCTTTTTCACTAAAATAATATTTATAGAGCTAGGTACCAAAGAGCATTCTTTTTAATATATATTAATGTACCAGGGTTTTTCTTTTGAGGCCACCAACCAGGTACCAAATCATGACAGAGATGTCTTATTAGTATTGAATGCTCAGCCTAGCCTGGGCTCATTTCTGGCTATCTCTTTTAACTTAAATTAACCTGTTTCTCTTTATCTACCTTTTGCCTTAGGGCTTTTTACTTCTTTTTGTATATCTTACTTTCACTGCTTCTGGTAGCCGGCTGGCCCGCCACTGCCTAGCTTCTGGCCCCAGGCGTGCTCCCTGTTCTCAATCTCTCTTCTCAATCCTAGATTTTTTTTTAGATTTAGTCTCTCTGTCCACCAGCCCCATCTATCCTTTCTCCTGCCTAGATATTGGCCTTTAAGCCTTTTGTTAGACCAATCAGGTGCATTAGGCAGGCAAGGTCAAACACACATCCATACATTGTTAAACAAATGCAACATAAACAAATGTAACGCACCTTTACATAGTTAAATATTCCACAACATTTTATATATATATAGTTTTGTTTGTTTGTTTGATTTTTCATTGTGTTTTATTTATATGTGTGCCTGTGCACATGCCTCGTGATGGCCATCAGGTACAGGAGCTGTCCTACCACGTGAGTCTTGGGGATTGAACTCGGCCTAGCAGGTTTGGTAGCAAGCACCCTTAGCCACTGAGCCATCTTGCCCAGCCCTGAGCTAGGATTTCAAATTGGCCATCCATACCCTCTAACCACCCCTTCAACACCAAGCATAGTGGCACATACCCGTATTCCTGCAGCCAAAGAGCCTGAAGCTAGAGCCTCATGAGCTCAAGGCCAACCTGGGCTACACAGTGAGATCCTGTCTCAAAACAAAACAAACAAACAAAAAAAAACGAGGGTAAAGGGTTCTCTTCCGGCTGCTGAGCGGCCTGTGAAACGATGTGTCTTCAATGGTTCTTGCAGCCGAGCCTGTCAGCACTGTAGAGCGCCTGGAGCCGTCTCCCATCTTGAAGGAGCAGGCCCTGGCTAAATGCATCTCTGTTGGTGGTCGCCCTCCTCCAAAAATCGACTGGC